GGGCTCCTGCACCACCCTCCCCCTTATCACAGCCCCCCTTCTCTGTGACGATGTCTCAGCCTCCCCTGTGTGACGGCCCTTCTCTCTTCCACTCAGCAACTTCGTCATCTGTGGGAGCCAAAGCCGTGCCTCTAACCAAGTGATCGGAGGCCCTCAGGACGAGACTCTGGGTCATCTAGGACCTGTCCTCACTTTTTATACATGTCGGGGTTTCTTGTGTTAGCTCCACAGAGACGCTGTTCCTTGTCTAACGAAAACCAAACAATGGGGTAAAACCATTATGTGAAATATACAATAGAGTTTTTTTCTGTGTATCTTCATTTGGGAGAGCAATTCAGAAATTTTTTTATTTCAAAATTGCCATGTCATTTATGCATGCTTCAGGTTACAGAAGTATTTAAACAGTTCAATGTAGAAGGTGCTAACCAGTTTCATACTCATTTTATGTGCATATCTTGGGAAGTATATTAAGAGATCTTATTTTCTTGGGCTCCAAAATCACTGTGGACGTTGACTGCAGCAATGAAATTAAAAGACGCCTGCTCCTTGGAAGGAAAGCTATGACAAACCTAGACAGCATATTAAAAAGCAGAGACATTACTTGGCTGACACAGGTCCGTCTAGTCAAAGCTATGGCTTTTCCAGTAGTCATGTATGGATGTGAGAGTTGGACCTTAAAGAAGGCTGAGCACTGAAGAATTGATGCTTTCAAACTGTGGTGCTGGAGAAGACTCCTGAGAGCGTGAGCGCCTCACTGAAGATGTTTTCCGGGACCCGGTCGGTGCCTGCACTGCAGCGGCATCGCCAGGAGGTGGCCCCAGCCCATGTTTATGAGAGGTTTCAAGGGCCTGGTCTCTAATCTGTTCCATTTGAGGCACTTAAATGGAAGTGCCTCTGCTCCACCTGAATGTCCCCTGTGTTCTTAACCACTCACAGCGTCTGTTGACGTACCTTCTCAGTCCAGCTGGTGAAAACGTATCCCTATACTTTCGGACCTCATGTTCAAAACCTGAAACTGTAAGGAAGGAAATGCAAGACACATCCCTGTCCTGCCCTCTTAGGGGCCATTTCTGTCCTTTGATGTGTGGAGGGCCATGCTTCCCTTTGCTGTTGTCACCCCGTCATCCAGGAAGACCTTTCCCATACTCTCCTTCTTTCTCTCTCATGACAACTTACTTTCTCCGGGACTCAGTTTTGTCATTCATAAAGAGGGGTTAAAAATACTCAGGAGGGTTGTTGGAGAGGTTAAAAATGATTTACCCAAAATATCACATATCATAACATGAATGGATTTTTTTTCTTTTTAGCATTTTGAGAGCATCATTGCTAGATTTTTGCTGCGACAGACTATATAGTTTTATGTAAGACAAAGTTAACAACTATCTCTTCTTTACTCTTGTTAATTAAACTGAAAAATCCCACCGCCGACTCCTCAGCACATAATATTCTTTTCCCAGGCTCAGGACTATTGGCCACCATTCATATTTGTGATTGGAAAGAACTTTTCTTTTGGTCCAGCTCCCCTCAAAGGACTCAACTTGTCCTCTATACACTGTTCAACCTCTGGCAACCCAGTTTTTGGGGTGGCATTTCAGTGCCTGTGGGGTTACTACTTACCATGTTTTACACTGAGTTTTAATTTTTTGATATAAAATTATTTCTCCCTTCTCTGAACTGCCAGAGTGCTCTGCCTTAATCACATGACTATTGGTTTACACATCCTTCTGCTCCCTTAACTGAATGCTTTTAAAAACATCTCTAAGTGCTAAGTACAGAGTAGGCACTGAATAGATGTGTATTTTGTTTGCTGTGTATCACAGTTTATTAACAAAATACCGTCGCATAGAAGAGAAAGACAATCAACAGATCGGTTTGTGGCCTTTATGTGCCTCTGTTGTCAGAACACTCCATCAGTTTGAGATTTGTGTCTTAATTAGAACTATAAGTACCTCTGAATAAATTTAAATAATTGTGAATTTTAGAGAGAATGTTTCCATTTCATATGCCTCAGTCTCCTTTTTTCTTTACCAACACTGTAATCAAGGCACGGGGTCTTATTTGAGCTAACAGATAATTATCCTTCATTACATAAGTGCTGTGTAACTTGACCTTAAAAGGCTGCGGAACCTGACAAGACCGCAGCGGATCTAGCCAGCTGGATCTGCTTTCACAGGGTGTCGGTACCTGTGAGCAGGAGCTGCTTCTGGAGGAGTCTGGGGGAATCATTGCCTCACGCGTTCCCTCTCTGATCCGGAAAGTACTGTTGCTTTCAGGCCATGGAACTGCATGGTCTCAAACAAATTATTCCATTTGAAATCTGTGTTTTCTCTTCATAGACTATGAGCTATATAGACAGAAGCATATTTTCTGAGATGTATGCCTGTATTGTTATTTGTTCATTTTTTTTCCCTCATTTTTGACTAAAACTGAAAGCAAAATTTGAACAGTGAGATGTGGGTGATTATGACCAACCAAGACAGCATATTAAAAAGCAGGGACATTACTTTGCCAACAAAGGTCCGTCTAGTCAAGGCTATGGTTTTTCCAGTGGTCATGTGTGGATGTGAGAGTTGGACTATAAAGAAAGCTGAGCACTGAAGAATTGATGCTTTTGAACTATGGTGTTGGAGAAGACTCTTGAGAGTCCTTTGGACTGCAAGGAGATCCAACCAGTCCATCCTAAAAGAGATCAGTCCTGGGTGTTCATGGGAAGGACTGATGATGAAAGTACTTCAGTACTTTGGCCACCTCATGCGAAGAGTTGACTCATTGGAAAAGACCCTGATGCTGGGAGGGACTGGGGGCAGGAGGAGAAGGGGACGACAGAGGATGAGATGGTTGGATGGCATCACTGACACAATGGACATGAGTTTGGGTGGACTCTGGGAGTTGGTGATGGACAGGGAGGCCTGGCATGCTGCAGTCCATGGGGTCGCAAAGAGTTGGACACGACTGAGAGACTGAACTGAACTGAACTGAATGGGAAATGGATAGTATATTTAAAATATCATAGATAATACAAATGAACTAAAGTAATTTCAAAAAACCCCAAGAATTGATTTCCTTGAACTTGAAGTGGCTAAGAATTAACTTAAGCATGAAAACAAAGTAAAGAGAATCAAGAGGAAATAAATATTAGGCTTAAATTATATATGAAAAGTTTCAGTGGTTTGAAAATCAAAATAATTAGGTTAAAAATACACACACATGGCAGACAGTAGTGTCTTTAATGTATGAAACACTTCTCTCTTGGACCAATAAGTCCAAGTAAAAGCAGTGTTATTATTAAAAACAGTATTAAATTTTTAGATGTTATGATATGCTGGGTGACCTTCTAAGAATTTTTCATATATTTTAATTCTCATTGTAATTATTTGAGGTAGCTGCTATTATTATTACTCCATTTTATAGATGAGGCAACAGGGTCACAGGTTAAGTGATTTTGAGCATGCGTGCACACCTAGTAAATTACATAGTTTCTGAATGGATGACTTACTTTTTATTGCAGAAACGTGACTCTGATGTCTGTCCTTTTGGCCACTAGCCTATACTGCTTAACATGGGCAAAGGACAAGAAAGAACATTTTAAACAAGAATAAATAAAATGGCACCAAATCATGAAAAATTTTCTGTTTCACTAGTGATACAGAAGGAAGTAACACTCTAAATGAAATTTATTCTCTTCTTTGACGAGGGTGGCGGAAATGAGACCTTCCCATGGAGTGGTGGTAGGAATTTGTTTCCCCCAGCGCAGGGCTCTGGGGCGAGGCTGGAGCTCTCTGCTCAGGGCATTAGGGGACACTGCCTCGGCTGCTCTCCTGGGAGGCTGGGCGTGGGAGACGCGGCTTGCTCCACAGTCAGGGCTCAGCGCGCTCCGCGTGCCGCTGGCTGGGGTGCCGGGTCTGAGGCCCCTCGTACGCGGCTCTTCTTTCCGAGCACCAGTGGGGCCTGGCCAGGGACAGCCACGCGCGGGACACCGAGGATGATGGAGAGGTTTCGCAGCTTCCTTCTGAGTTCGTCTCTCTGAAGAGAGTGCCAGCCTTGCAGCTTGGATAATACATTTTACATTATTAGTTTATCGTGGCACTATGGAATCTGAGGGAAATTTCATAAAGCCGCCCTCAGTAGCCTCAACTGTTGACAAATGATTCTTGAGGTTTAGTTTGGTACAAGATGCAGAGAATGTAGGTCTGCTTCCTTTATTCAAACTCAGTAACTGGTTTGGGACAATTAATTTCCAATTGTTTCCCAGTGGAGCAGATTTACTTGTATATTAATGAGGCACAGGTGTTGGGCCCCTGGTGTCTGCGTGCCTGGGAGGCATATTTCAGTTGTTTATCTCCTCAGCCATAGGTACGCAAGGTACTCAAGCTTGCCTTTCACAGTTTTTACAGTGAGGCTTTTAAAATTTTTTTTATTTTTTTTCACATTTGCCTGCACCTGTTAAAATTTTAAAACTGTTCGTGTAGAAAGAAGTTGCAAAGATTTCAATAGTAAATAGTACTAAAAATTAAAGGAAATAGTCTTCTATTCTGTTTAACTGCCCAGCCTTACGTGAAAGAGAAGTGAGTTGATTTCATGAGCTCTTTCAGGTGAGAAGCCAATATGATCAATCAATGACCCAAATTTTGGTTGTGTATTTTTGGAGCAGGTATATCTTTGTTAGTGTCTAGAGCAGTCATATACTTGTATTAATATTCATTTTTTTTCTTGTTGATTCACTGAAATGCACTACCAACATTTAAGAGGCAGTGGAATAGCCTCCATAGACATTATGAATTTCAGTAGCTGGCATAATTATAGCGATCTACATATTCATTAAATCTACAGGAGAACTCTGTCCAAAAAGACAGCCTTGCATTCAGAAACAGACAACTAAATACATATATTTTAAAAGTTGCATCTTGGAGACTTATTTAAAATTGAATTCCTGCAGCACTCCTCTCCAAGCAGAAGAATTTTAACAAAAGGATCCTCATGCTTTGGTTTCTTGCATCTAGGAAAGAATGGGAAGAACTATTTGTAAACAACAATTACTTGGCAACAATAAGGCAGAAGGGGATTAATGGGCAGCTGAGAAGCAGCAGGTTCCGCAGCATTTGCTGGAAGGTAAGAAGAAAATATTTATTTACAGTTTGTGGTTGCAGTCTATCAACACATTACCTGATGCCCTGAAGATCACCCATGCGGGGGATCACTGAATTTTCCAAGAGACTTCACTCACGAGGTTTTGGCCATCTAGGTTTATCTTTCATAGGACATTTGCTAATAAGGTTGAAGCAAGCGCCTTAGTCCTGGATAGCTAGCGATGGTGCAGGAATCATTTGAAATACCGGTCTTTTCATCCCATTTGATGGTGCGGAACTCAAGCAAAGCCTTCTGGGTCCCCAGAGGCACTTGCAGAAATCCTTGGCGCTGGGCAGGGGGTGGTGGGTGAATGTTTTCAGATCCCTGTTACAGCAAGTGCTGTCATGGTCACCTGCCTTTATTTCTTCACAAATAGCAGATGGGAAAGATATTTTCATATTTTCTGTACTGGAAACACAGTGGAGGGCAGCGAGAAGGAGAAGTAGAGAGAAACTAGGTCAGTGTCCTTCCAGAGGAAGGCCATTGGTCACTCCTGGGTAATGATGATCTGCAGTGTCTCTTTCACGGCTTGGAAATCTGTCCCTTTTTGTTCTCTCAAAATGAGTCAGTTTAGATTGAGATTCACTTTTTAAATGACTTCTCTTGAAAGTTGTTTAGGGTTCATCTGCATAAATTGAGCAGACGGAGCCTGCAAGTGAAGACAGTAAGGAACACATAATGTATTAGACAGTTTGAAATTTAATAATTTAGGTTTAATAATTAAAGTACATTTTTCTTCTGCTCGGTGCTGGCAGTGAAGGCAGGGTCGCGCTGCTCGCATGTTTGTACAGGAGGCTTTGGCCCCCCCCCCCCCCCCGCACCCCCCACTCCATGTTGTTTAACTTTTTGAGTCTCCTTCCTTTGCTAAAAATAAACTCAAACCCAGATTTATTTTAATGTTTTATTAAACTAAATGAAATCAAATTTGTTTTTTTTGAGAATGCTTGTTAATTTTGTAAACTAATTGCTAGTTGTAAACTGCATTTTCTGCTATGAAAGGAATGACTTCCCTGCTCAGGGTTGTCCTCAAACTGTTCCTCTCTGTCCACTACCTGCTTGTTTGAAGACAGATCTTGGAAGCCTTGACACTGCAATGTGGACCTTGGGCTTGTTAGTGCACTCCATCACCCCCCTTAATATAAGAAAGTAGAACAGAGTGTACTTGAACCTTAATTAATTTTCCTTGTTCACTTTTACTGTAAATCTGGAGGGGAGATGGATTCCATCTTGTGGTGTATCTTTTGGGATCTTGTTTTCTGGCCTTTGTTCACTTTTGAAATTGTCCAAATTGATATGTCTTAAATATCCCCACATATAATTGCGAGTTGGAATGGTGATATGAGTGTGAAATACCATGAATGTATTTTCTTCAGTTTTCAAGTGATGCCCTTTAACATAGTTTCACATATTCTTAGGATTTTTATAAAAGTTTTCCTTTTTTTTTGACAGCTTTTTCTTTGTGTTCTTCCTCAAGATAAAAGTCAGTGGATAAGTAAAATTAAAGAACTAAGAGCATGGTATAGCAGCATTAAAGAAATAGTAAGTTGTACTTTAAGTAATGTAATTGTTTTCTTAATTGGGCCTTGAAGAGCAGCAGCCTCTGACCTTTGCGTGTGTGTTTTCTTTCTTTCCAGCACATCACAAACCCTAGGAAGGTTGTTGGGCAGCAAGACTTGATGATCAATAACCCCCTTTCCCAGGATGAAGGGGTAAAGTTTGTGTTTATTCACGTCTCAGCCGCTCTCGCCCATCAGAGTATGCTTGTGTCTCATTATCAGTCACCATGGAAGCAGTGTCACTCTACACCAATAGGATGATTCTTTTACCTCCTGCATTAGTCCACCTAAAGCCAGATGGGCATTATTCCCTGCTGTGTGCTGACAGTGTTGGGGGAAGCCAGTGGGCTGCTCCTGGAGATGGCACGGTGGAGGGGAGGCCCCGGGGCTGTGAGAGCTCAGGGTCAGAGAACCCAGAGGAGGTCTCCGCTGGGGCGGGAAGGGCCGCCCCGCACAGAGCCCCCTTCTGGCAGAAGTGAGAAGGCTGTATCCGGGAGGTCAGCTCTCCGGCAGGAGACAGCTGCGTGTCCTGACTCTCTGGACGGGGATTTAAGATCATGAAAAAGATGGGGCCCTCCCCCCTCAGACCCCAGTGAGGATGAGGAGTGATACACTTCAGAGGTGTTGTGTAGCTTCTTCAGTTCCTGTTTCTGTGCTGAAGGATGTTTTTTTGTTTCACGTTTTCTGTATAAAATTAACATTTCTTTTTCCTTGTATATGTAATTATTATAATATAGTCTGTGACTATTAAGCAATTTTTAAAACTTGAAGTTCATACTTTAAGAAATAGATAAAAATCTAAACCAAAGCTTTGTAGAAAACATTACGTATCTTTCTGTGTTGGCAATTCAGGTCAGGTTCAAGTGGGGCCAGCTGGCCTGTGGGCCTCCTCTAATTCAGGTAGACCTTTTTGTTGTTGGAAGGGTAGCAGCAGATGTCTAGCAGTAACAGTATCATTCACTTTAAGTAGATAGTAGAAAATTTTAAATATGCACAGTAATATCACTGGAAAAACTAATGTTAGAATGATTATGTGTCTCTGAGACTAGACTAGATTTTAATAAGACATTTTCCAGTTCCAGGTTTTCTATCTGCAATGTGAAATCATAACTCAGAGAAGGATAACTTTTAATTATCTGAATCATTAGATTGAGATCATAAAAGTCAAGCAAAGGTGCAGTATTGTTTTAAATAAGTTGCTTTCCTTATTTCAGAGTCTTTGGAACAAATTCTTCCAGGATAAAGAACTTCGATCAATGATTGAACAAGACGTCAAAAGAACGTATGTAGAACTATTTACAAGTTACCTTCAGTAATTCAGACTGGTGTTACCTCTTTGAAGTTTTAGCAAGCTATACAATCTGTAGAGGAGCCTTAGTTGAATGCAGTATTTTACTTGTGTTAATACTTATTTTGGCCAAATTTTGATGATAATAGTTACTTTCTATTCTTAAATTATAGACTTTTGTGTTCCCTTTGTCAAAATAAGTTAAATTTATAATATTGGTAATACTAAAATAATATATAAATACTGAAATGTTTAAATCAGTTTTTCAGTTTCCAACGCTTGCTTGAAGTCATGTGCTTCTAATTAAGGTTATATATTGTAGTCTTAATACTGGTTTTGCTAGAAGAAAATTATCTTTTGCTTTATACTTTGAATCCCTTTCTAATCAAATCACTGTTTAAGTGACAGCTGTATTTTTACCCCTCCCCCCTTTACTTCTGTTCCTCTTGACACCGTTCAAGTTCGCAAACAACTCCACATCTTCTCAATGTTTCCTATATGAAGTGGCTCTTTATCTAGCATGTGGTTAATTTCTATAACTTTTATGTATTGGACCTCACTTTTTTTTGGGTCATGTAATGAGGAGTGCATGGAATTTGTGTGGAAAGAGCCTGGGGTAAGTTCTAGCAAGGTATGCTCTAATCCTGGACAAAGTAATTTCAACAAAGGTCTTTCCCCCTTAGATGTTCATTTCTGCAGAACAGAGGTTAAGACCAAGCACCCTCATGGCATAGTTACAGACTCATGTGTTGTTAATAGTAGTAAATTAGATGCGTCTGCATTTCAGACCGTGTCAATACCAGTCGCGGTCCCTTCCTCACCAGGGTCTGGGATGAGCCAGGTGTATGAGAGTCCCTGCCTCCAGGGCCGCCTCTGCCTGTCTGCCCCACCCCCGTTCAAGTCCCGCTCCGCTGGGCGCACAGACGGGGCCCTGGCTCCGACACTGCTCTCTCTCCAGGCCCCAGACAGAATGGTCAGATGACGGGGACTTGCATTAAGGTCATACTACCGATTTAATGCATGAGATTTTCTGCTTTAAGATGGAAATATTTCAGAGGGGTCGTGGGTTCAGAGAGCAGCAGCACATCCATAACTGGCTGTGGTGGCGAGTTGGAGGCGGGAAGTGTGGGGCACTTGGGTGAGCCTGGTTAACGAGGACCAAGCAGTTTCAGGGCAGTTACCTTCCTGAGTCAGGCCATGGTGCTGGTCTCTCGTCGGAGGTTTCAGAAGGCAGAGTACCATTGTTTTGGTTCACAGGAGACCCTCAGTAAATATTTGTTGCATAAAACAAAAGGATGAATTTCCTTACCCATCGCTTTAAGTAACTAGCTGGGTAATCAGTGGTGATAAAACAGGGTTTGTAAAAACAAAATACACAGTATATATAGTTTACCAAGCAGTAACAGTATCTCGTTTTTAAAACGCTAGGCAGTTATCTTAGAAAACTTGATAGCTTACGTTTGAAGTAGCCAATAAGAAGAGTTTTGGTGTCTGCTGTTGTCAGATGGAAGTGGAGGCATCATGTCGCTGGACAGGGTCCCACACCCGGGACCAGCCGGGCCAGATTGCCGAAGGAAGCGGGAGCAGAGAGAGAAAGGGAAAGAAAAGGGTGGATAGCAAAACCAAACAGGAAATGGGATTGCGAGCCCCTTCAGTATTTTGGTTCCTTACAGCAAACATTGTTCCTTACAGCAAACATTTCTGCTTCGCTGTGTGGGAAAATGTTATTTCTCAAAAGCTATATTCTGTGTTTCTCTTATAAAAACGTATGTGTGTCTGTGTTTGTAACACACATCCATGGCAGTTTTTTTCCTTATGATTTGTCTCCGCTGGTGCATTTTAATTCAGTTTACAAAGCTGAGATGCAGAGAAGGCCTCTGGGTGGGGGAGGTTCATACCTCCTTCCCCAGAAGTCTCTCCCATGTCTCGCCTCACATTTTGAGGAAGTCTCCTAGCCACCTCTCTGTAAATTCTGTGGCAACTAACTTAGCTTGTAGGGTAAGGCTCTCCATCTTATTTTAAAGCCAGCAAATTGCCTAATCATAAGAGCTGAGTAGCTTGAGTAATTTCGCTGTTAGTCCTTTAGGCGTACACCCTCCTCAGAGGGCACTGTGTGCGCAGTCGTGTCTGACTCTTTGTGATCCCATGGACTGTATCCCCCCAGGCTCCTCTCCCATGGAGTTTTCCAGGCAGGGATACTGCAGTGGGTTTCTGTTTCCTACTCCAGAGATCGAACCTGTGTCTCTTGCGTCTCCTGCATGGGCAGATGGATGCTTGACCACTGCACTACCTGGGAAGCCTTTAGAAGGCCCTTCATGATCCCAAATCCATGGTTTTCACCCCAGTCTGCACGGCAGCTCATGATGCAGTGGGCGGGGAGCGGGAGAAGCGCAGCTCTGTGACTGGTCACCAGCGACTGTGAGGGAATTGGGTGGTTCTGAGTGCATGTTTTACTTACTGACTGTCTCCTGTATTTCAGAGCTCTCCAATGCATGGAAGAACAGAGTGGTGGGGAAGACAGACAAGTTTCCTGTTGTCGTGGGATGTGCCCTTTAGTGCGGGGCGCCGGGGAGAGAGACAGAAGCCCGTGTAGATACAGAGGGTCATGGTAGAAGGCAGTGACTGCTGTGCAGAAATCAAGCCAGATACTCTCATACACAGCCAGACGGGTGGCTGCTATAGGAGAGGCATCAGAAAGGGCATCTCTGAGAAGGTCACGTTTGAGCTGAAACATGTTACGAAGGCAGCAATGTGATGATCTGGAGAAGGAACATTCCAGGCTGAGAGAGCCGCTGATGCCCAGTCCTCAGTGAGAGCAAGCCAGGGATCAGCAGACCTGGCTGGGGGCGGATGTGGCAGTGGGGACGTCTGGTGGGCTGTCCCGCTGACCACCACAGCTAGGAGTTTGGGTTTGACCCCACCTGCAGCCGCAACCTGGAGGGAGCTGAGGGGAGTGAGAGACCCGAGAGAGGGCTGGGGGCCTGGAGGGTGTGAGCGGGGGTGAGAGATCCTGGAGGGTGTGAGCGGGGGTGCAGGCCCAGGAGAGTGCTGGGGGCCTGGAGGGTGTGAGCGGGGGTGCAGGCCCAGGAGAGTGCTGGGGGCCTGGAGGGTGTGAGCGGGGGTGCAGGCCCAGGAGAGTGCTGGGGGCCTGGAGGGTGTGAGCGGGGGTGCAGGCCCAGGAGAGGGCTGGGGGCCTGGAGGGTGTGAGCGGGGGTGAGAGATCCTGGAGGGTGTGAGCGGGGGTGCAGACCCAGGAGAGTGCTGGGGGCCTGGAGGGTGTGAGTGGGGTGAGAGATCCTGGAGGGTGTGAGCGGGGGTGAGAGATCCTGGAGGGTGTGAGCGGGGGTGCAGACCCAGGAGAGTGCTGGGGGCCTGGAGGGTGTGAGCAGGGGTGAGAGATCCTGGAGGGTGTGAGCGGGGGTGAGAGATCCTGGAGGGTGTGAGCGGGGGTGCAGACCCAGGAGAGTGCTGGGGGCCTGGAGGGTGTGAGCAGGGGTGCAGGCCCAGGAGAGGGCTGGGGGCCTGGAGGGTGTGAGCGGGGGTGCAGACCCAGGAGAGGGCTCGGGGCCTGGAGGGTGTGAGCGGGGGTGCAGACCCAGGAGAGTGCTGGGGGCCTGGAGGGTGTGAGCGGAGGTGCAGACCCGGGAGAGGGCTGGGGGCCTGGAGGGTGTGAGCGGGGGTGAGAGACCCTGGAGGGTGTGAGCGGGGGTGCAGACCCAGGAGAGTGCTGGGGGCCTGGAGGGTGTGAGCGGGGGTGCAGACCCGGGAGAGAGCTGGGGGCCTGGAGGGTGTGAGTGGGGTGAGAGATCCTGGAGGGTGTGAGCGGGGGTGCAGACCCAGGAGAGTGCTGGGGGCCTGGAGGGTGTGAGCGGGGGTGCAGGCCCGGGAGAGTGCTGGGGGCCTGGAGGGTGTGAGTGGGGGTGCAGACCCGGGAGAGGGCTGGGGGCCTGGAGGGTGTGAGCGGGGGTGAGAGATCCTGGAGGGTGTGAGCGGGGCTGCAGACCTGGGAGAGGGCTGGGGGCCTGGAGGGTGTGAGCGGGGGTGAGAGACCCTGGAGGGTGTGAGCGGGGGTGCAGACCCAGGAGAGTGCTGGGGGCCTGGAGGGTGTGAGCGGGGGTGCAGACCCGGGAGAGTGCTGGGGGCCTGGAGGGTGTGAGCGGGGGTGCAGACCCAGGAGAGGGCTGGGGGCCTGGAGGGTGTGAGCGGGGGTGCAGACCCGGGAGAGGGCTGGGGGCCTGGAGGGTGTGAGCGGGGGTGAGAGATCCTGGAGGGTGTGAGCGGGGGTGAGAGATCCTGGAGGGTGTGAGCGGGGGTGCAGACCCGGGAGAGGGCTGGGGGCCTGGAGGGTGTGAGTGGGGCGAGAGACCCTGGAGAGGGCTGGCTGCTGTGCTCCGGGTGGGGTGGAGGTGGGCACGGCCCCTGGCAGGGCAGTGGGCATCAGTGATGTAGACCGACGCTGTCTGCAGCAGATAGAAGCTGAGGATGTGTATTGGATTATTGTTGCTTTCTCCCACTGCCCAGTTCTGCTCCATTGTCACCACTGTTCGGGGGCCTTTTCACCGCCCACCTGGGGGTCTCTTACGTGTCTTACTGTTCCCTTGACGCTATTAACTTGCTTTTCCCATCCAACTCATGTGCTGGACTGTTTCCCTCAAACATGGTCTTAGTCCTGCCCCTGCTTGCCTGTTTGGACCTTCTGTGCCCCTCTGTGGTTTTGCAGAAGATGTGCTTATCCAGTCTCCCTAACACACACACTGTCCCCCTTTCGGACTTTCCTGTTACCTGTGTTTTCCTGACTTCTGGTTTAATTCCACTGTGGTCTAGGGGCAGGCATCATATGATTCCTTTTCTGTCAAATTTGTTAACGTGTCTTTTATAGTCGAGAATGGGATCTGTCTCTGAGAATGTTCTCTGTGAGCTGGAGGAAAATGTGTATCCTGCTTTGTTGGATAAAAGTGACCTCTAGATGTCAGATAGGTCCCATTGGTTGATGA